CCACTATGTCTAGCCCCTGGAATGAGACTCGAACAGTTGGGGCTCCCCAGGCGTTTCTCTGCCTTCCTTGGGTCTCTTCAGGGCAGCCAGACTTCAGTGGTGACTCGGGCTATGGTGTGTGGGGCGTGCGGCTTGCTCGGCCTTCTGAGAGCAGATTGTGGGCAGCTCACCAGCTCCACAGTTTGGGGACTTGACGTTGGTAGCTTGCCATCAGTCACGGTAGGTGTATTTACCCAGATGTCAGCAAACGCTAAGAACCAGATTCTTTTTTCCTCCTAGAGGGCTGGTTGTTAAACGTTTAGCTGCACTCCACCAGACTCAGGGCTCCCAAGGCACGCATCCCGAGAGAGTGCAGGCAGTGCTGTATCTTCTTTTATGACCCAGCCTTGGAAATCCCTTAGCAATGTCACGTCTATGGCGCTCTGAAAGTTGAAGTGGTCACAAAGGGCTGCCTGTGTCAAGGAGAGGGGTGTGGACAGTGGAGAATGGCCAAGTCCTAGCAGAGCATGTCAGATAGGCTACATTATTACACCAACTGTGGTCTGTGTAGCATCATGGGTCCTGGAAACTGTATACCATTCGCGTCCCCCAGTCACTGTGCCAGCCAATAACATAACTGCCCCCCCAAAACACACACAGCACACACAGTCCCAAACAGCAGGGCATTGATGTGCCTTATGTATCCCATACTGCCCCAGCCAGTGTGTGGCATTCAGCCGTGTGGACATGGTGGCCACGAGCTCCTTATGGCCCTCAGCAGAGCATCCCAAACAAGGATATTGTATCCTCAGGGCTCATAAGGTACATCCCTTGAAGGTCCTTGCTCCTTGGTGAAGCCTGTCTGCCCTAATTTTGCGAGGGGGCCACCCCAGCTCCAGAGATCCCTTGTTTGCCAGTGACCAGCCCAGTCTTAAGGTGAGCCAAGCAGGGGAACCACACTCCGGTGAGTTTCACATCCATGACAGGCAGACTGGTGGACTTGCTATTAAATGGCAGCTAATTGGGGCACCTGGGTGACTCAGTCGTTAAACATTTGCCTTCGGCTCAGGTCATGATCCCAGGGTCCTGGGATCGAGCCCCACATCAGGCTCCCTGCTCAGCGGGAAGCCTGCTTCTCCCTCTCCCACTCTCCCTGCTTGTGTTCCCTCTCTCGCTGTGTCTCTCTCTGTCAAATAAATAAAATTTTTTTTAAAAATAAAATAAATGGCAGCTAATTATTAATGCAACTAAGAACAACTTGGGGGAAAAAAATCACACCCTGTTTCTTAAGTCTTATAACCAGTCACACTGTATCAGGGTAAAGTTGGTGTTCCGCATTTTGCCATGTCCATGGATCACTAGCCTGATACAGGCGTCTTTCTTTTTTTCTAAGATTTATTTATTTATTTTAGAGAGAGCTCGAGCAAAAGCGGGAGGGGCAGAGGGAGAGAGAACCTCCAGCAGACTCCATGCTGAGCGCGGAGCCCGACATGGTGCTCGATCTCACAACCCTGAGATCATGACCTGACCCGAAACCAAGAGTCAGATGCTTAAATGACTGCGCCACCCAGGCGCCCCTTAACAAAACCTTAATCAACTTATTTAAAAATAATAACAGCTGTCATGAGTTGAGCACTTACGGACATTAGACAATATAACAAGCATTAGATCATTGAAGTCTCTTAACCCAGGGCAACCTCCCGTGATCGTTTTGCCCATTAAACAAGATGATGGGATTCTGTGAGATGCCCCGGCTCCAATGCCCAGCACAATGGCTTCATAAGGGCCCAGTAAATGTCACCAGATGAAAAAATTGTAGCTGAAAGGCTGTTCATCATTCTTTTATGATGTGTAATAATACTAGCAACTAACATAATTTAGTGTTCAATATTAATTGAATATCACTCTTATGTCTGAGACACCAGCGATTTTTCTTAAACGTTTTACAAATATTAACCCGTTTCCTCCTTACAACAACCCCGTAGAGTATGTTAACATCCTCGTTCTCAGAGCACGAAGAGATTAAGAGACAAGCCCTTGGTCACAGAACTAGCTAGAGGCAGGGCTGGAACTCGAGCCCAGGCCGGCAGGATCCAGCCCCCGAGGCACTCTTCCCGATGGGGAAGATGAGATGAGTTTCTCACTAGGTCTGAGCCCAGTCACTCAGTTCTCATTAAATAAAAGTGTTTCACCTTCCTGTGCCTCAGTTTCCTCATCTGTGGAGTAGGTTTCTGATGTGATGATTCGTTGGCTCATTCACTTAACATCTCTTCATTGCACACGTATTGTGTGTCGGGCGCTGGCGTGGACACTGGTTATCTAGCATGCCAAACAAGCCCTCATGGTGAAGAAGGTACTAAGTAGGGGCGCCCGGCTGGCTCAATCAGTAGTGCGTTCGATTCTTGATCTCAGGGTCATGAGTTTGAGCCCCATGTTGGGTGTAGAGGTTACTTTAAAATAAAATCTTTAAAAAAAAAAGAAGGTATTAAGTAAATTATATATACTTTTGTGTGTGGTGTATTGAGAGGTGATAAGAGCTTTAGAGAAGTATATGGTAAGGAAAAGAGAAGGGGGAGTAAGGGGTGGTCATGAGCTCCTAAAATAGGGTGGCCAAGGATGGTGTCATGGAGATGCTGACATTTGAGCAAAGATTTGAAATGTGGAGGCGAGCATAGAAATCCTCTGGATCCAGGTGGAGGGAAGAGCCTGTACAAAGGGCCTGAGGTGTGGAGGCTCGTTTGGCTGGGCAGAGCGGGTGAGGAGGAGATGAGAGCAAGCAGGTGATGGGGGCAGACTGTGTGGGGCCTTAAGGGCCACAGTGAGGACTCTTGCCTTTATCCTGAATGGGGTGGAGCCCTGGGGGCAGGGGGGCAGTTCTGAGTAAGACAGGGACAGGACCTAATTCAGGTGCTCATACCTGACCTGGCTACTAGTGAGGAACAGAGAGACAGTGATGGCCCAGGTGGGAGGTGTATGAATGTGCAAGATCCCCAAGGGAGTGAGTGGTGATGGAGAATACAGGAGGTTCAAACACCAATCTCTGACATTTCAGATCAGATGGAGGATGAACAGCCAAAGAGACTCACTAGGAGTCACCAGGCGAATGGGAGGGGTCCAGAGGGTGTGGTGGCTTGGAGCCAAGTGAAGAGGGAGTAACCCTCAGTGTCAGTGTTAGTGTCAAAGTGAGGACTGAACCCTGACTTTGACTTAGCACCAAAGGGGTCATTGGTGACCTTGACATTACAGGGCAGGGGCGGCGGGGGGCGGGGCGCAAAGCCTGATTAGAGAAGGTTTAAGAGAGAACAGAAGTAGAAAATCTGGAGGCAGAGACTGGTGACAACTTTTTTGAGAAGCTTTACCATAAAGAGAAGCAAAGAAATGGGGCCATAGCTGGAAGGGGGGGGTGAAGTCAAGAGAGGGTTTGTTTCCAGACGAGAGGGATGACACCATGTGGGCTGCTGAGAACGATCGAGTGCAGAGGGGGATTCCAAGGCGCAGCAGACAGCGACAACTGTGAGACTCTGTGACCTGGAGTGGGCGGAAGGGGTGCGAGCCGGTCACACAGAGGGCTGACGTTTGCAGGGCAGTCGCCGTGGGAAAGCCAGAGGCCCCAGGGCCGGTGGGTGGGTGGTAGACAGGGTGGTAGGCACCTGTGAAAGTTCACTTCTCATCGCTTGTAATTTGTTTCTGCAAAATAAGAAGCAAAGGGAGAATGAAGAGGTGGGAAGAGGTGTGATGAGCTAGGGGCTGGGGGAGAGAAGGTGTGAAAGAGTTATCTACAGAGAGGAGGAGCCTGTGAGTAACAACTGTTATCTGATTGTCAGGCAGCCTTCCCGGCTTGAGGGTCAAGTTCACAATCTGGAAGTGAGAGCAGCCAGTGGAGTTGTGTGTTCTTCAGTCACCTTAAACTGGGTACAGCCACAGGACAGGCGGAGGGCTGGATGGAACCAGGGTCACATGCTGGAGGAAGCTAGGGACAACGATGTGGGCAAAGAATGTTTTTAATGGTTATCAAAGCAGCTGAAGCTGGATAAGGAAGAAATGGGGACTTGAGGGCTTGAGGGGCCATGAAGAGGAGGTAGACACAAAGGATGGGGGACCACAGTGGGCTGGAAGGATTGTGGGGCACTAGAAGGAAAGAGCTGGAGAGAGAAGGGGTGAACAGTGGAAAGTGAGCTCCCTGAGTTGAGGTTCTGAAGAGTCTGGTTATGGAGACGAAGTCTAGGTGTGACCATGAAAGGGAGAGGCTGAGAGGAGAGCAGGTCAGGGAGCAGAGAGGCAGGTGGCTGAAGGAAGGATATCTACTTGGATGTGGAAATTGCCAGGCATGTTGAGAAGAGCAGCCTGAGTGGCAGGGAGCCTGGAGCTAAAATCATGAAGCGGGCAGTGATCTGATCAGCAGCTGATGCACCAGGCAGGGTGGTGAACACGGGAATCATAGCTGGGGGAGTTTGGGGGAGGAGGGAAGAATGGTCTGGAGGCAGCACCAAGGGGCAAGATTTACCCACTCGGAAGAGCCACAGGGGAGCTGGGTTTTGGCTAGAGCAAGGCGATAAGAATGTTAAGTGAAGAGATTTCATGAACTGAAGACAGTTCATGAGTTCCAAAGGTCCGAGGGGTTGGGACAGGTTGGGGTATGCGGTGGAGATGGGCCGCCTCCTCGGGTTTTGTTTTGTTGTTGTTTTTTTTTTCTGTGCTCACGATCATACACGTAAACTGCTTAGCTTGACACAAATGCACCGGCCAGATACAGAAGCCGTGGGCAGTCCTGGGGGAGTCCTGGTCAGACCAGGGCTCTTTCGCTCGAGGGGGAAAGCTGAGAAGCCGATCGCCCTCAGAGCCAACTGGCAGTAACTAGGTGCCCGGGTTTCAAGGGCCGTGGCATTCCCCCGGCCCCCCACTGGAGCTGGTGGGGTCGTGGTCAAGCCACACAGGGACCTTGCGGCCTGGGAGAGGTGAGGGAGGCCGAACTGCCCTGATCTGCTGACCCCTCTCAACCCGCAGGACTCCGGAGGCCGGAGATGGGCGCCCGGCCCTCACGGCGACGGCTGCCCGCGGACCCGCCCCTAGCCTTGGACGCGCTGCCCCCGGAGCTGCTGGTGCAGGTGCTGAGCCACGTGCCGCCGCGCGCCCTGGTGAGGCGCTGCCGCGCTGTGTGCCGTGCCTGGCGCGACGTGGTGGACGGGCCCACCGTGTGGCTGCTGCAGCTGGCCCGCGACCGCAGCGCCGAGGGCCGCGCACTCTACGCAGTGGCCCAGCGCTGCCCGCCCAACAGCGAGGACGAGGAGTTCCCGCTCTGTGCCCTGGCGCGGTACTGCCTGCGCGCGCCCCTCCGCCGCAACCTCATCTTCAACTCCTGCGGAGAGCGTGCGTGCCGGGGGCGGGGCCGGGTAGACCGAAGTGTTGCGTAGGATGGGGGCCGGGCCAGGCCGAGTGGGCGTGGCCAGGATGCATGGGGGGGACAGGGCGGGGCCAGGGCAGGAAGCCAAGGGGCGTGGCCAAGGGAAGAGGCTATTGGGAAACTTGCCAGGCGGGGCTGGGAAAGAGATGGACTGGGTGGGAGGGGCCGGGGGCTGCGGGCTGTGGAGGGAGGCTAACTGGGTAGGCAAGAGCTGGACGAGCCAAGGGCCCTGGCGGGAATGACGCGGGCTGGGACTGTAGACTCAGTGGGCGGGGCTAAGGAGGGAGGAGCCAGGGAGGACTGAGGAAAAGCTGATTGGGTGCTGACGGGGGCGAAACTTGCATAGAACTATGAGGCCACCCTGAGCCTGTGGGGAGGGGGAACTGACCGAGTGGGCGGGGCCAAGGCAGGAGGAGCCCGAAGGCTGTGGTAGGAGAGGGCGGGGCCATGATGGCACGAGCCCGGGGCGGGGCCAGGGAGAAGCCGAGTAGATTGAGGGGCTGAAGGGAGAGCTGGGGGCGGGGCCGAGTGGGGCCGAGGAGAAGCTGAGTGGATGGGCAGGGCTGAGTGACGCGGTCGTGGGGTGGGACCAGGAATGCCGGCGGCTGGGAGGCGGGGCCAGGGTCGAAGAAACCGGGCGTGGAGCGCGGGAGGGAGGAGTTGGTGGGCGGGGCAAGCAGGGTGGTGGCGGGCGGTTCTCTGGGCTGGCGGCAGGTGAATCCGTCGTCTTCAACCCTGTTGCATCCCACAGAAGGCTTCAGAGGCTGGGAGGTAGAGCACGGCGGGAACGGCTGGGCCGTGGAAAAGAACCTAACACTGGTGCCGGGGGCTCCTTCCCAGACCTGCTTCGTGACTTCTTTCCAGTGAGTGGCCCTTGATCCCTGGGGCAAGGGCCCCGAGGAGGGAGAGAAACCCTACCCCTCTGTCCTCATTCTCACCCTCACTCACCTTCACCCTCTCCTTCCCTCATTCATTTATTCAGCCAGTCAAATAGTTGTCAAATATTTGTTGAGGGCCTGCCAGGTGCCAGGCACTCTTTTATATGCCAGAGATACAGGGAAAATTCAGAAATGGGGAATTCAGAAAGGGGGCGCGGGAGACATGAAACACATATAAACAGTAAAATAATGATGACAACAAAACAACAAAGAGGAGTTAGTCGATTCCCGCTGCTTTACATGTAACTCTTTGAATCCTGGCAACAACCCTGTGACATGGATAGCATTATTTCCACTTGATAATAGGAAACAGGCGCAAAGGGTAGCCAACACCTAATAAATGGTAAAGCTGGGATTTGAACCCAGGTAATCTGGCTCCAGAGCTTCTGAGTCTACAGAGACATCCGAACAGCTGACTGATTGATTCTCTTTATTCTCACACCCCATCCCCATTGTTCTCGCTCCCTCCCCCCGCCCCCGTTCAACCATTCTCCTGTGGCATTAACCAACTTTCTAGTAGTTGCCAGTATGTTAGGGGTGAAGTGATGTCTTACTGATGTTTCGATTTACTAATAATTAAGCATCTCTTCGTGTGCTTGTTAGCTTTTTGGATTCCCTCTTTTGGAAATTGCCTATTCATATTTTCTATTAGGGTTGATATCTCATTCTTTTTTTAATTTTCATTGTTATGTTAATCACTGTACATCATTAGTTTTTGATGTAGTGTTCCATGATTCATTGTTTGTGTATTACACCCAGTGCTCCACGCAGAACGTGCCCTCTTTAATACCCATCACCAGGCTAACCCATCCTCCCACTCCCACCTCCCCTCCAGAACCCTCAGTTTGTTTTTCAGAGTTCATCGTCTCTCATGGTTCATCTCCCCCTCCGATTTCCCCCCCTTCATTCTTCCCCTCCTACTATCTTCTTTTTTTTTTAAACATATATCGTATTATGTGTTTCAGAGGTACAGATCTGTGATTCAACAGTCTTGCACAATTCACAGCACTCACCATAGCACATACCCTCCCCAATGTCTATCACCCAGCCACCCCATCCCTCCCACACCCCACCACTCCAGCAAATCTCAGTTTGTTTCCTGAGATTAAGAATTCCTCATATCAGTGAGGTCATATGATACATGTCTTTCTCTGATTGACTTATTTCGCTCACCATGACACCCTCCAGTTCCATCCACGTCGTTGCAAATGGCAAGATCTCATTCCTTTTGATGGCTGCATAATATTCCATTGTGTATATATACCACATCTTCTTTATCCATTCATCTGTCAATGGACATCTTGGCTCTTTCCACAGTTTGGCTATTGTGGACATTGCTGCTATAAACATTGGGGTGCACGTACCCCTTCGGATCCCTACATTTGTATCTTTGTGGTAAATACCCAGTAGTGCAATTGCTGGATCATATGGTAGCTCTATTTTCAACTTTTTGAGGAACCTCCATACTGTTTTCCAGAGTGGCTGCACCAGCTTGCATCCCCACCAACAGTGTAGGAGGGTTCCCCTTTCTCCACATCCCGGCCAACATCTGTTGTTTCCTGACTTGTTAATTTTAGCCATTCTGACTGGTGTGAGGGGGTATCTCATTGAGCTTTTGATTTGGATTTCCCTGATGCCGAGCGATGTTGAGCACTTTTTCATGTGTCTGTTGGCCATTTGGATGTCTTCTTTGGAGAAATGTCTGTTCATATCTTCTGCCCATTTCTTGATTGGATCATTTGTTCTTTGGGTGTTGAGTTTAAGAAGTTCTTTATAGATTTTGGATACTAGCCCTTTATCTGATATGTCATTTGCAAATATCTTCTTCCATTCTGTCGGTTGTCTTTTGGTTTTGTGGACTGTTTCTTTTGCTGTGCAAAAGCTTTTTATCTTGATGAAGTCCCAATAGTTCATTTTTGCCCTTGCTTCCCTTGCCTTTGGCGATGTTTCCAGGAAGAATTTGCTGCGACTGAGGTCGAAGAGGTTGCTGCCTGTGTTCTCCTTTAGGATTTGGATGGACTCCTGTCTCACGTTTAGGTCTTTCAGCCATTTTGAGTCTATTTTTGTGTGTGGTGTAAGGAAATGGTCCAGTTTCATTCTTGTGCATGTGGCTGTCCAATTTTCCCAACACCATTTGTTGAAGAGACTGTTTTTTTCCATTGGACGTTCTTTCCTGCTTTGTCAAAGATGAGTTGACCATAGAGTTGAGGGTCCATTTCTGGGCTCTCAATTCTGTTCCATTGATCTATGTGTCTGTTTTTGTGCCAGTACCATACTGTCTTGATGACGACAGCTTTGTAATAGAGCTGGAAGTCCGGAATTGTGATGCCGCCAGCTTTGCTTTTCTTTTTCAACATTCCTCTGGCTATTCGGGGTCTTTTCTGGTTCCATACAAATTTTAGGATTATTTGTTCCATTTCTTTGAAAAAGGTTGATGGTATTTTGGTGGGGATTGCATTGAATGTGTAGATTGCTCTAGGTAGCATTGACATCTTCACTATATTTGTTCTTCCAATCCATGAGCATGGAATGTCTTTCCATTTCTTTGTGTCTTCCTCAATTTCTTTCATGAGTATTTTATAGTTTTCTGAGTACAGATCCTTTGCCTCTTTGGTTAGATTTATTCCTAGGTATCTTATGGTTTTGGGTGCAATTGTAAATGGGATCGACTCCTTAATTTCTCTTTCTTCTGTCTTGTTGTTGGTGTATAGGAATGCCACTGTTTTCGGTGCATTGATTTTATATCCTGCCACTTTACTGAATTCCTATATAAGTTCTAGCAGTTTTGGGGTGGAGTCTTTTGGGTTTTCCACATGAAGTATCATATCATCTGCAAAGAGTGAGAGTTTGACTTCTTCTTTGCCAATGTGGATGCCTTTTATTTCTTTTTGTTGTCTGATTGCTGTGGCTAGGACTTCTAATACTATGTTGAATAGCAGTGGTGATAGTGGACATCCCCGCCACGTTCCTGACCTTAGGGGGAAAGCTCTCAGTTTTTCCCCATTGAAATGATATTTGCTGTGGGTTTTTCATAGATGGCTTTTATGATCCTGAGGTATATACCCTCTATCCCTACACTCTGAAGAGTTTTGATCAAGAAAGGATGCTGTACTTTGTCAAATGCTTTTTCTGCATCTGTTGAGAGGATCATATGATTCTTGCTCTTTCTTTTGTTAATGTAGTGTATCATGTTGATTGATTTGCAGATGTTGAACCAAACTTGCAGCCCAGGGATAAATCTCACTTGGTCGTGGTGAATAATCCTTTTAATGTACTGTTGGATCCTATTGGCTAGTATTTTGGTGAGAGTTTTTGCATCCATGTTCATCAAGGATATTAGTAATTCTCCTTTTTGATGGGGTCTTTGTCTGGTTTTGGGATCAAGGTAATGGTGGCCTCATAAAACGAGTTTGGAAGTTTTCCTTCCATTTCTATTTTTTGGAACGGTTTCAGAAGAATTGATATCTCATTCTTGTTGCTATACAAGAATTCCTTGTGTATTTTAGATGTTAGCCCCTTGTCCATCCTGGACACTGGGAATCTCCCACTCTACCCTCTCTATTAACTGTGTCCATGGTGTTCTTTGTGGTTATTTTCATATGATCAAATTCTTCTCTTTTTTGCTTTAGAGTCTGTTTTTGAAATTTGCATGAAAAATCCTTCCCTACCCTTGATCCTAACAGTATTCTCTCATAATCTCTTCCAGTAACTTCACAGTTTTGTCCTTCACATTTAGATCTTTAGATGGCATATTCAAATCAGGGGAGAAGGACTGTTTACAAAGGCGGAGGCAGACCACAAGGGATACTCTATGAACCCCAGGCTAGTAACAGTGAGGGAAAGGGTCATTTCCGGCCCGAGACCTGACAAGGGTAAGGGGAGGAAGCAGTTCCTGAGCCATAAGCCAGGGAAGGCTGTGAGGAGAGGGCCCCCTGAAGCTGTGCCCTTTCATGGAGAGACACGGCAGTCCCACGCTGATCCCTTGGGAGGGAGCCGGGAGGCTAAATAACCTGATTTTACTCTCCTCTCACCATTCCTTCTCCTGCTAGCGCTTCCCATTGGCTAACCCAGCAAGAAGGGGAGAGTAAGGGAGACCTGTCCATACAGGCAGTACAACCTTAGTCCTTGGGCCTCCACACTTTATTTAGGAGGCTCCAGAATTCCCCGCTCAGTGTGGCCTCCATTTGTACTCGTGTTCCAGTCCCCACAAATATTAAGGACATACAGGTCAGCCTCCTGGAGCCCAGAGCCTGCTGGAGGATGGTGGAAAGGAGGGGAGAGGCCAGTGGGCATGCCCAGTCCATCCTACATCTTGTCCAGGACAGCAAAACCCGAGGGGCTGCTTCAGACAGGGTTGTCAGGGGAGGCTTCTTGGAGGAGGTGATTTCATCCCTACACCATCGCCCCTTCCCAGATGGTGCTTCAAGAGGCAGCTTGTAGACTTGGTGATGGAAGGAGTGTGGCAGGAGCTGCTGGACAGTGCCCAGATCGAGATCTGTGTGGCCGACTGGTGAGTCAAGAATGGCAACCCACCCTGAGCGCCATCAGGCCTGGCAGCCGTGCTGCACAAAGGGTTCCTCCGTGCCCCCCATCAGCCCCCTGGTCTGGCCGCGGCTACTGTGTGCCCTTCATGGTGAGGCTGAGTGGGAAGGGGATACTCTCACAGTTGCAGAGGCTGGGAGGGGCAGAGCCTTGACGAGCTCAGAGCCCCCCCCCCCCCGCACCCTTCCCTGACCCCTTTCAGCAGGCCCCGGGGTTGTTGACATGGGGGCCATTGACTGACTTGGTCTGAAACGAGGTACCCCATCTCACCCACTCCACCCTCATCGCCACACTCAGCATGGACCCTAAGGGCTTGTGGACACCCAAGTCCTCAGGAAGGTTCGGAGCACGGTGCCCTGAGAACTGAGACTCAGAGGGGCAGAGTTGGCCCTGGTTCCAGAGCACCCCGGTTCCTTCACAAAGCACTCAGGCTCCTCCTTCCAGCTCTTGCTCCCCCACGCAAAGTCCGGTTTCTTCCCTGGGGCTCTGGCTCCTCCCCAGAAAGACCCAGGCTCCTCCTCTCCCAGGTTGTGGTTCCTCCCCAGACACCATCCTCCTCCCCCTCCACGCACACACATCCAAGGCAAAGCCTCTAGAATCCACCCCAGGAGCACCCAGCCTCCTCCCCGCAAATTCCCAGGGCCTGACTTCTCCATATGCAGCGTGGGATGTGCGACCCTCATCAAAGTGCAGGGAGGCTTAGCCCTCAGCCTGGTGACCAGGCGGGTGGCGGGGGCATCAAGGCTCACCACCACCTGGCAGGTGGGGTGCCCGAGAGAACTGTGGCTGCATCTACCGGCTCCGGGTCCGCCTCCTGGATGTGTATGAAAACGAAGTGGTCAAGTTCTCGGCCTCACCCAACCCGGTCCTTCAGTGGACGGAGCGAGGCTGCCGACAGGTGGGTCCAGACTGCCTTCCAGACCACCCCTGACCTGCCCAAAGACGCACCCCACCTCCCACCGGCTCAGATACCCTTCTCAGGCTTCATCATGGCTGGAGGTCTCTAACAATAACAGCCAACAACCACGGAACCCTTACTTCCGCCCAGGCACTCTTCCCAGAGTTTTGCCAACTAATGCATTTCATTAGCAGAGCCCCTACTGTGTGCTGGGCACTGCTCTAGGTGCTTGGGATGCAGTGGTAAATCAAAGTCCTTGCCTCTATCCTCATTCTAGAGTTGAGGAAACTGAGGCATGCAAGGTTAAGTGACTGGCCCCAACTCACACTAAAGCACGCAGGGCTCCATTCCCACCCAGGCTGGCTCCCAAGCCTGTGCTGAGTCATCGCACCTGTTAATCAGAGTAACCTTTGTGGGCACCTGCCTGGCTCAGTCGGTTAAGTGTCTGACTCTTGATTTCAGCTGGGGTCACGATGTCAGGGTCGTGCGATTGAGCCCGGTGTCAGAGCCTGCTTATGATTCTCTCTCTCCTTCTGCCCCCCCTCCCCCTCCAGCTTGGGCATGCTCTCTAAAAATAATAATGACAGTAATCAAAAATACCAAACCCTTGAGGTGGCCTTCTTGTTTCCTCTTCTGATCTCCTCCCCACCCAACACACATCCAGAAAGGTCCCATTTAAAAGAGTCAGATCACAAGTCTCCCCGCTTGTAACCCTCCTAGGGCTACATCTCAGAGGAAAAGCCAGTTTTATCATGCAGCTATAAAAAGGGATGAAGTATGGACCCATGCTACAACATGGATGAACCCTGGCAATGGGATGCTAAGTGAAAAGAGGCCAGGCACAAAAGACCACACACTGTAGGGCTGCATGTATAGGAAATGTCCCGAAGAAGCAAAGACACAGAGAGAAAGCAGAGAGATGAGTGGTTGCCAGGATATGAAGCTTTTTTCTGGGCTGATGGAAATGTTCCAGAATTAGTTGGTCATAGTTGCATAACACTGTGAATATACTAAAAACCACGAAATTGTACAGCTTTAAATGGCGCATTGTGTTAGGTAAATATTATCTCAATTAAAAAAATTTTTTGCAAAGGATAAGAAAAGGCAGAAGCCAAAGTCCTTCCATGGCCCACAAGGCCCCACATGATCTGCCCTTTACTTTCCTGACACCACCTCCTGTTCTCCTCTCTGCTCCAGGACACTTCTACCTCAGGGCCTTTGTGCTGACTGTTCCTCTATTTTTTTTTCTTAAGGGAGAATTTTTTTTTTTTTTTGAAGATTTATTTATTTGTCAGAGAGAGAGCACAAGCAGGGGGAGCGGCAGGCAGAGGGAGAAGCAGGCTGTCCGCTGAGCAGAGAGCCTGATGTGGGACTCAGTCCCAGGACCCCGGGACCATGACCTGAGCCGAAGGCAGGTGCTTATCCGACTGAGCCACCCAGGTGCCCCAAGACTGTTCCTCTGTTTGGAACACTCTTTGTCCGGACCCCCACGACTCCCTCCCCTCCTTCAGGTCTCTGCTCACTCACTGTACCCCACCCCCCTGCCCCTTACCCCCAGTTGTCTTCAGTGTCTGAGTCCCCTACGAGACCATCAGCTTCACCTGGGCAGGGCCTTTTTGCTTTCTTCACTGCTGTATCCCCAGGCCCTAGAGCAGGGCCTGGGACCCTGCTGGTCCTTGGGGAGTGCCTGTTGAGGAAGGGGAGGAAGGGAAGGGCCCACAGGTCCTCACCCTCCCGCTCTCCTTCCCCACGCAGGTGTCTCATGTCTTCACCAACTTCGGCAAGGGCATCCGCTACGTGTCTTTTGAGCAGTATGGGAGGGACACGCGTTCCTGGGTGGGCCACTATGGCGCCCTCGTGACCCACTCCAGTGTGAGGGTCAGGATCCGCCTGTCCTAGCCGACCAGGCTGATCCAGCCTTCCAGAATATACTGCCATTTGCCGGACATCATCATCAGTCAAGGGCAGCTTTGCAGCTGGGAGTCGGGTGCCTGTGGACGGTGGGGGTCCCATGTGGCCCATTCCCGGTGGCCCTCCGGTGAACCCTACTTGCTGCTGCTTTGGCATGGTGGCCCACACGCTGTGCAAGAAACCAGGGATCCAACCAGGCTGCTCACAATTTCCCCAGCTTCCCAGGGTGTGGGAAGTCACTCAAGAGTAACTCAAGAAATGTTTACTTTGCTTGCAATTGTTTTCTTGCACGTGTGGATGTTAATTGGTGGACTGAGTCAAAAATCAAAGGCCAAACCAGGGTTTGTGACAGTGGCTCCTGGCTGCATATTTGTGGGGTAAGCCGACTGCCCAGCAGGGAGCAGAGGTTAGGGGGGGCAGTCTGTCCTTGAGGTCACCAACAGGGGCATCAAAGGGAACCCTTTCTGTTGTCTTGGGGGTCTCTGGGATTCAGATGTGAGGCCTACGTGACCTCCAGCACCACCTATCAGCACCTGCCCTTTGAGCCTGGCTGGTGCCATTCCTTTCAGAACTCCGGAGATCCTGCTGATCCCCACACCACGACCCCCCCCCCCACCTCCTGCCTCTACGCCAGGGGCAGATCCCCTCCCACTGGGCAAGACTCCTTTTCTCCACTCTCTTGCATTCAGACTCTAAGAGCAAGGCGTGCCATGGGGGAAAGGGCTCATGCCTGCCTCCCTAGCGTCTCCTGCTATTTCCCCGGCTGGGCACAGCCAACAAACTGGCTCAATAAAATCGATGCTAAATGTGAAACCATGGGGGACTTTTGTCTGTAATCAATGCACTGTCTGCCCCCAGCCCTAATCCTAAAAGGCCTATGGGAGGTTTCCAATCGTGAGAACTTCAGGAGGCGTGCTAAGCTCCATGCGGGAAATGGAAGGCAGGCAGTTATTTATTCGGTCCAGGAGGAAACAAGTTCAGTTTCAATGACCTGCTCAAGGTCACCTGGCCAGTAAGCAGGGAAGGCAGGACTTGCACAGAGCCCAATGATGGAAGGACGGCTCCCAGTGGCCACGCATGTGATCAGGTGAGGTCAGTATTACTCTCGGTGCCATTTCCCAAGGGAGGAAACTGAGGCCCAGAGGGGGAAACACGTATATTCAAAGTCAGAGAACAAAGGAGAGAGCGAGGACTCGGACCCAGGTGTGTGTGAGTCTGGAAATAACCTAGAGCAGCAGCTCCCAGGCAGGCAGCAGCGCATGCCCTCCGAGCCTTTCAACACCCCTTCCACAGATAAGAAAGCCTGACAGCCGGGCTGTCCTTGCCCAGATCCTGGGCCTGCGGGAAAGGGAAATGGGCCTCAGTGCTGCCTACCTGACTCCAGAGCTTCCCACGGAGTAGCCACCTGCAGGTGTTCTGCACTTAGAGCATTGAATTTCATCTTCACAAACCCAACAAGGAGGATACTATGAGTGGAGCTGTTTTCTGGAGGAAACCAAGGCCCATCGGGAATCTCTGTGGCTAATACCACGCAGTGGGCAAATACTGTGCAGGAGGGTTCACACAACAACCGTGGGGGGCAGAGGGGTCTGTGTGTTTATTGCAACCCCTTCGCAGCAGATGGCAGTACAGGGCCCTATCCCGGCAGAAGAGATCCCCCGAGCCCATGCTCTATACATGGAAGCCCATGCTGTATACATGTACACAGAGGGGTGCTTTTACTAATCCACACCCAGAACCCCGGTGGGCAAGTAGTGTTCCAGTTGGAAGAGGCGAAGCCAGGATTTGCACCCAGGACCAGGTGCTTCCAGAGCTGGAAGAGCTTCCCAAGGATACTGCAGGCACCCAGAGAGGAAGGTTCTGGTTCTTGGTGAACCCCAGCCCGCCAAGGTGGCCCTGGCGGTCACTTCTTCTTCTGCACGTGGCCGCAGTCATACTTGCCACGCACAACAGTGAGCTTCACGCCAGGCAGGTCCTGGGTGCGGCCGCCCTGCACCAACACGACATGGTGCTCCTGCAGGCTGTGGCCCTCTCCGGGGATGAAGCACACGGCCTCTCGGCCAGTGCTGAGCCGCACGCGGCAGCACTTGCGGTTGGCCGAGTTGGGTTTCTTGGGCTTTCGGATGAACGTGCGCAACACTACTCCCTTCAGCTGCGGCCGGCCGGCCGTGGGGCCCAGAGGTGGAGACGGCCACTTCGGAAGCCCTCGGCGGTGCATCTGGTTCAGGGTGGCCATGGGGCGGCTGGCCTGGAGCTGGGAGGCCAGGGCTAGGCCTGGAGACACACAACCGGGAGGGTGGGGGCGGGGGGGGGAGGTGTTATCCCAGTGAAAGCGTTACGTGTTCTGGGCATGGTTCCAAGCATGTGTTTGTTTCCGTCTGGGGGTAGTCACAAATAAGAGTAATATCATCTACTGGGCAACCATCACCTGTCAGGTTCTATTTTAAACAATTAATGTGGATTAGCTCCTTTTATTGTGCAAGGAAGGGACTGACTTTAATGCTGTTTAAAAATAATAAAAGCGATTAGATTCACATCGTGTCCTGGACTGTTCTATGCACTGTACCTACGTGAACTCATGCCATCTCCACAGCAACCCAATGGGGTGTTTCAGGGAGGTGTCCCTCCTCCTGCCCGTCGTCATAACCACTTCCAACCCCCATGAGCAGATGATGTCAGCCAAACTTTGATACAGACCCTTTCCTCCCTCCTCCACTGCATCCACTCTGGTCCTGTCCAGCCTCGTCTATTGAGCCCTACTTCTCCCTCCTCCGACAGTCTGGTCCCCACATGCAGCCAGAGGGACCCTGTGGACACCTTGGCCAGATCATGCCCCCCCTTGCCCAGAGCCCTCCCTCCTGCAGTGCCATCTCACTCAGGACAAAGCCAAAGTCCTTTCTGTGGCCCATGAAGCCCCAGGTGATCTGGCCCCATTACTCCCCTGACCTCATCTCCCTACTTGCCCCCTTACTCATCCTGCTCCAGCTGTGTCCCCAGACACACCAACAGAAAAGGGAGCAGTGTGGCTGCAGTGGACTAAGAAGAAAGCCAGGTAGGGGAGGGAATATACTTCCAAGGCAAACTGATGATTTGTTCATGGATAGGATGTAAGAAGATGCCACCATAACTGGATTCTCTTCAGCAAACATTCACTGAGCACCTACTGTCTTGGCCCCAGTCATGGAGGCACAACCGTGATAGAGACAGCCCTGGGCATACCCTCTTGGAGCTCCCAGTTCAGGGCTTTAGGTTCATCCTTTTCCTGTCACTAGCACGGATGCCCTTTTACACCCAAACTTTACACTCTCTCCCTATCCAGGGCAGGTCCTGGCCCTACTCTCCATTTCCACGTCTCCTTATGGGTCAAGTTACAGCAGAATCCTCAAAGGGGGTGAGACATTGCTAGAAGCCCTTTCCTAGTGGTATGCCCTTGAGCAAGACTCCGTTTCTCAGTGCTTCAGTGTCCTCACTGTATCAGAGGCACCAGAACCGCACCTCCTCCTTGAGTACGGTGTATGAGAGGCTACGGTGAGAGATGCATGTCAAACTACCCAGAGTTCCCGGGCAGGTCGCAAGCCTGTCATGTGATCCTTGGTGAGTGGCAACCAGAAAGTGCTTAATAAAAGTCTGCAGAGTGGCCATGAGAAGCATCTGATGTCTGTCGAGCCCATAGGGACATAAATAAAGCATCCCTCTCCGTGCATGGCACACACCAGGATCTTGAAAAATATCAGCTGAAGGAACGAGCTAAACCCTTTGCTTGGATGTCTCACCCAGGGGAGGTTATTTACTAAGTATTTGCTGAAGAAATCAGTAATTGACCCAAACTCCTGGTACCCACCTGACGACGTATAGTCGCCCCCAATGCAAAGACTTCCCACCCCTTGCCCTTGCTGCCCGAGCTCCGCTAAAATCTACCATGCATCCGTGCATCCCTAATTTAAAACCCCGATTTCCCCCCCGGGGCTGCGGCAGAGGCGCCCAAGTCCCAGAGGGGATAACCCTCGTCCAGCTGCGTGTCTGCAGCTCAAGCCCCCAACTTACCATAACTTAGGGACGTGTTCAGGCCACGGAGAAGGCCGGACCAGGACATCCCGCCGCCTGCAGGGTCCCTGTGTTAGGGGATGAGAGAATCAGGAAGGAAGAGGGAAAAGTGGCCGTAGCCGGGGAAGGGCCCCAATTCTCCCCATCCCGTCCTCGGAGCCTTCGGATTAAACCCAAGGAATTTCCTGACCGTCGAACCACAACCCCTCACGCTGCTGACAGAAATTCCCTCCGTAAATTTAGTTTCGCTCTGAGTAGGCTCTCGGTCACCCAGCAACCTCTCCCGCCCCCCCGCCACCCCTCCCCCTGCACACAGGAGGAGAAGGGAAACTGAGGAAAAGGCCGGGGAGATTTGAAGAACCCGAGGAGTCCAACAACTTCACCGACCCTAGCAGGGTCCGCAGGCACGCTGAACGGGCTTCTAGCCACTTCCGGAGGCCATCCCAGCCGGGATTGGCTGGATCTGCCGCTCGTGTACCCTGAAGGGGCGGGACACAAATGACGATTGGTCAACGACAGAGTCAATCTCAGTCAATTTTTCTGGTCGGCCTGTATTTGAGGCACGCGAGGGGCTCACCCGGTCCAGGGTCTGATTGGCAGGGCGGCTGCTTTGCAATTGGTCTAAACGCGGAGTGGGCGGGACAAAGGATGCGTGGCTCCTTGTCCTCTGTCGAAGATGGCTGCGTCCATGGCGCGGCGCTTGTGGCCTTTGGTGGCTGCTCGGGGTCTTCGGCCCCGGAGAAGCTGTGTCTGCAGCCGTAGCCCAAGGAGAACTTTTGCCACGGAGAGACAAGGCCGGAACCTCCTGTACGAGCACGCGCGCGAGGGCTACAGCGCGCTCCCTCAGCTGGACATGGAGTCGCTGTGCGCATGCCCGGAAGAGGCCGCGCGCGCCCTGCGGCTCCGCAAGGGGGAGCTGCGGCCGGAAGACCTGCCCGCGATCGTGAGTGCGCTTGCGTGGGCCATTAGCTGCGGGGCCGAACTGGGCTCGCAAGATACTCTCCAGCAGGGGGCGAACCCATTACGGGAATTTGCGTTCCTACCCAAGTTTAGCCAACATGTTGTGCTTGGTCCGCGTGCGGGTGCCAGTTATCCACGGAGTGCTAGGGCCCTACTATCTACACACCCATTATGCGCCTGTTCCATAAAGCGTGCTGCGTACCTGCTTTGCGCTTAGGAACTTACTACCTGCCAATGTCCTCTGGGCTCCAACCTCATGCCAGGCTTAAGACGACAAAAGAAAATGGGGGAAGGGGGAAGAACATGGGGGACAGGGATGTGAATCAGACGAGGGTGGAAGGGTTTGCCTTTGGAGAGTAAGAGGTGGAGACCTGCCGCTGCCCCACGGGTAGCAGGGTAGA